ATTTGATAATTATTTCAGGAATGTAATTGGGGAAAAATAACTTCCTGCTTTAGTCCTGGTGAGAAGCATAGCACCTTGGTTTTGGAGGTATTCAGGACTAGTTTAAGAGTAACTAGCTGATGTTGTAGTTTGTTGAAATCACCCTGTAGCTTAGCAATCACGTCATCCGGAGAGTGGCCAGCAGTAATCAGTATCGTGTCATCTGCAAAAAGATTTACCCTGGAATGATCCAGGTCAGTGCCCAAGTCATTGACATAAAGAGAGAACAAAAGGGGGCCGAAGATGGAACCCTGTGGAACCCCTTTTGTTATCTTAACACTGTTTGACCTCCAACCATCTGTGAATACAGTTTGGGTGCGAGAAAAGAGGTAATTTTGTAACCATTTTACTGCGTTTTCGGAAAAACCGAGGCAACTTAGTTTACTAAGCAGGGTGTTGTGGTCTACTGTATCAACATCTTTGGACAGGTCTAGAAAAAGACAGGCGCAGTACTGCTTATTATCAAGGCTACTGTAAATGTGATTCAGAGAGTCTAATGCAGCAGATGTGGTGCTGTATTTTTTTCGGAACCCAGATTGTTTTAGATGTAGTAAATTGTTGGTGGACAGGAAACTGCTAATTTGGTAGTTCAATAATTTTTCAAAAATTTTCATCAACGGGGACAAAATTGAGATAGGTCGGTAGTTATTTGGATCATCTTTAGGGCCCCCTTTGTGAAGTGGACGGACATAGGAATGTTTCCATTCTAGAGGAACTGATGCTTCTTTGATGGACAGGTTGAAAATATGGGCTATAGGTTTGTATATTAGGTGACCAACAGTTAGTAGAGCAAAGACAAGAATACTATCTGCTCCGGTAGAGGAGGACCCTTTGAGGTAGGACAGTTGTTTCAGAACATTACTTTCGTGGATTGGCTGGAAACTAAATTCGTTTAATGTTTGGACAGGGGTGTAGGAATTTGCATGAGCAGGGGTGACTCCCAATACATTATCAAAAAGATTACCAGCTTCAGAAAAATGAAGGTTAAAATTGTCAACTATTTTTTTGGGATCTGAAAAATATTCCCCATTTTGGTTAAGTTCAACGGGCAGAGTGTCTGTTTTGGATGCCTTTTCGATATATTTGATTGTTTTCCAGAAAATCCTGGCATTTCCATGTGATTCCAGGAGAGTGGAGGAAAAGTAGGCATTTTTTGCATGCCGTATTTTTTTGACGCATCTATTCCTTAAAATCATTGACCAAATTATTTTTCTGAGCACATGCCCAAGCTTTGTCCCTAGTTTGCATGAGCTTTGTAATCAAAGGATCAAACCATGGTGGGCGGTTGCCTTTAGTTTTAAATCTAACCAACGGAGCATGTTTGTTAAGAATTTGGAGAAACGTGTACCTGATGGTCTCCCAAGCCGTAGTCAGGTTGGGGATATCACAGACCTTGTCAATATCCGAGTGAAGCACATCATTAGTAAATGCCTGAGTGCTGAAGTGTCTCATAGAGTGCTTCTCAACCAATTTCGGGGGGGCTTTGTGTCTGGCTGATGATCTCACCCCAAAAATGAAGGCGTAATCACTAAGGTTATTACCCAGAACACCAGTCAGTGTGAAATTGTGAGGGGCATTTGTCAATAGGACGTAGTGTAGTGTGTAGGGTAGTGTAAGTGTAGTATATAGCGGTGTAGTGTATAGTGGTGTAGTGTATAGTATAGTATATAGTAGTGTAGTGTATAGGGTAATGTATAGCAGTGTAGTATATATTAGTGTAGTGTATAGTGTAGTATGTGTGCATATTGAACTGCTTTCGTACTGTATGTAGCCAACCGCGCTAATCGTCGGTGCGGGTGAAGAACAACAAACTGAACACAGCAACAACAACAGCAGGAAGTAGTTCTGACGAAGCGAGCCCTCAATCCAGACCCATCGTCCCCCGGGAGAGGCGTCTCGATCCGGCCGCTCTGGAATCCTCTCTCGCGGAATCAGAATCAGCATCTTTTATTTCGTCCGCAGGGGGAATCCGATGAGAAATGAGAGGCCGTTCGGGGGGCATGTGGGTCAGAAGGTTACAAACGACAAACAATACGAAATAAATACGCTCGGATTGCAAAGTATAGGAATGGTCAACAAATCACGAAAACAAATGTCCAAATAAAATTAAACTAGATTTTTTTAAATCTTGCCCGGTAAGGCCTGCTGAGCCGTTCGCTTGTCTTTCAGCAGCAACCTGGCCACAAATGATAGCTCAATGAAGTGGCTTATTATCTTCACGTGGGCATTCATAGCAGCAGCCAAATCCTTTAAATGCACGACGTTGATTCTAAATGTGTTAACGACCTCGCCTGTGAAACAGGAGGTCGTGGGTTCGATCCCAACCCTGACACCTGCTGTATATTTGGAGTTTGCACGTCTCTCCCTCTCATCATCATCACAGTGACTAGGAGATGTTAACTACCTCGCCTGGAATACAGGAGGTCGTGGGTTCGATCTCGACCCTGCCACCTGCTGTATATTTGGAGTTTGCGCGTCTCTCGCTCTCATCATCATCACAGTGACTAGGAGATGTTAACTACCTCGCCTGGAATACAGGAGGTCGTGGGTTCGATCTCGACCCTGCCACCTGCTGTATATTTGGAGTTTGCGTGTCTCTGTCCCCGTGGTAGTGTGGATTTTTCTCTGGTTCCTCCGGTCTTTCCCTCCACATTTAGGATGAACGTCACGCGTTTAGAGTATTTGGCTGCTATAAATGATTTGTCAGACGATGATAAGCCCACTTTGTTGAGCTATCATTTGAGATGGCCAGGTTGCTTCTGTAAAAAAGGGCTCTGTACAGCTCCGTAGGGGCCTTGCCTGGTGTGTAAAAAATAAGTTTAGTAGCTTAGTTTTAGAATTTCACATTGGGTCATTTGGCGGTCTTTAGTTAGTTTTTGATTGGCAAACTCGGAGCATGACGGTGGCATGCAATAGGCCCGTTGCGTCCACCGAGAAGCAGCCAGCACGTTGGAGTACATTTTTTTACGGTCAAAATACTCACCCCCCTCCTCCCCCACTCTGTATTAACCGGGGAGGTCGTCGGGATATAACCAGGGTGGTCATGGGGATAGAACCAGGGCGGTCGTGGGGATAGGACCAGGGCAGCCGTGGGGATGGAACCAGGGTGGTCGTGGGGATAGAACCAGGGCAGCCGTGGGAATAGAACCAGGGTGGTTGTGGGGATAGAACCAGGGTAGTCGTCAGGATAGAACAATGTTGGTCGTGGAGAAAGAACCAGGGTGGTCGTGGGGATAGAACCAGGGCGGTCGTGGGGATAGAACCAGGGCAGCCGTGGGAATAGAACCATGTTGGTCGTGGGGAAAGAACCAGAGTGGTTGTGGGGATAGAACCAGGGCGGTCATGGGATAGAACCAGGGCGGTCGTGGGGATAGAACCATGTTGGTCGTGGGGAAAGAACCAGGGTGGTTGTGGGGATAGAACCAGGGCGGTCGTGGGGATGGAACCAGGGCAGCCGTGGGAAAAGAACCATGTTGGTCGTGGGGAAAGAACCAGGGTGGTTGTGGGGATAGAACCAGGGCGGTCATGGGATAGAACCAGGGCAGTCATGGGGATAGAACCAGGGCGGCCGTGAGGATAGAACCAGGTGGGTCGTGAGGGTAGAACCAGGTGGGTCGTGAGGATAGAACCAGGGTAGTCGTGGGATAGAACCAGGTGGGTCGTGTGGATAGAACCAGAGCGGTCGTCTGGATAGAACCAGGGTGATCGTCGGGATAGAACCAGGGCAGCCATGGGGGTAGAACCAGGGCAGCCATGGGGATAGAACCAGGGTAGTCGTGAGGATAGAACCAGGGTAGCCGTCGGGATAGAACCAGGACGGTTGTGGGGATAGAACCAGGGCGGTTGTGGGGATAGAACCAAGGCAGCCATGCGGATAGAACCAGGGCAGCCATGCGGATAGAACCTGGGCAGTCGTGAGGATAGAACCAGGGTAGTCGTGGGGATAGAACCAGGGCGGTTGTGGTGATAGAACCAGGGTAGTCGTGGGGATAGAACCTGGGCGGTTGTGGGGATATAACCAGGGTAGTCGTGGGGATAGAACCAGGGCGGCCATGGGGATAGAACCTGGGCGGTCGTGAGGATAGAACCATGTTGGTTGTGGGGATAGAACCAGGGCGGTTGTGGGAATAGAACCAGGACGGTCGTGGGGATAGAACCAGGTGGGTCATGAGGATAGAACCAGGTGGGTCATGAGGATAGAACCAGGGCGGCCATGGGGATAGAACCAGGGCGATCGTCGGGATAGAACCAGGGCAGCCATGGGGGTAGAACCAGGGCAGCCATGGTGATAGAACCAGGTGGGTCGTGAGGATAGAACCAGAGCGGTCGTCTGGATAGAACCAGGGCAGCCATGGTGATAGTACCAGGTGGGTCGTGAGGATAGAACCAAGTGGGTCGTGAGGATAGAACCAGAGCTGTCGTCTGGATAGAACCAGGGCAGCCGTGGTGATAGAACCAGGTGGGTCGTGAGGATAGAACCAAGTGGGTCGTGAGGATTGAACCAGAGCTGTCGTCTGGATAGAACCAGGGCAGCCATGGGGATATAACCAGGTGGGTCGTGAGGATAGAACCAGGGCGGCCGTGACTTGAGGTACCGCCGGGCCACATTATCGTGGCCCCGTCAGTTTCCGCCGCAATAAAAAAAAACCCGTCTGCCCCTTTCTTGCAGCTGCTGGTACGCGAGCGAGTGAGCGAGTGATTCTCGCGAGACGGGGCGCGCTCACCCACGTGTGGGCGCGTCCTGTACATGCGCGCTCGCGTCTGTCACGCGTGTTTGTGTGTGCGCGCGCGCGTGTCTGTACGCGCGTGTCTGTACGTGCGTGCGTTCGCGCGAGCGTGCACGGCATGAGCGCGGTCGACGTTGCCGCTGCTTGTGGCAGTGCCGACGGAGCTGGGCGGGCGGCCGGCGGGGGGTGACGTTCAGCCTTGCCCCCCACCCCCCCCCCCCGTGTGGGCCGCAGGGCGACACAAACCGCTCCGAGTCAAGCTTCGGGAAGGGCTCCGTGAGCTTCGACGACGACCTGGGGAAGAAGTCGGAGTTCCCCATGATGACGAGTGAGTGTCTCCATCGCCCCCACCACTGCCCCCCCCCCCCGCCGCCCCCCGAGGTTAAATACAAGGGGAGGGGATATAAAGGTGAGACTGATATCGTACGGAGAATACCGTATTAGTATTATTATTTTTTGCGACTGTTCCATCTTGCAGAGCCGAACGTACGATGGCTAACGTGCATGCTGTAATCACCGCACACACAAAGGCAAAGATAAAGACCCCCCTACTCCCGTGTAGCCTGTAACAAACTGTTGGGGCAAGTGCTGTTAGAGAGTAGCAGCACCTGTGAAGGCCGGCACTGTGGCACACGAGGGGGTGGGTGGCCAGCACCACGCCCTACCGCCTTTGTCGCCCCAGTTTACACACCGTAGCAGGTACTCATTTGACCTTGGGGAGACCCAGGAACCGGTTCAGATATTTCTTTGTCTTAAAAAGCTCAGTTCTATTCAACGATGTTTCATTTTATTGTAACGAGGTAAGGCACACTGAAAGTGTATAGCTCTTCAGAATCACAATATTTAGGCCGCAGGAGGGGTAAACAAATAACTTGAAAAAAAAATACAAACACAACTAAACTATTTTAGTAAGGCCCCACTGAGCTATGTAGCTTCTTTTTCAAAAGCGGTGGAGGGAAAAACCGGAGGACCCGGGGAAAAATCCATGCGGCCACTTCTAGCCACCGTGACGATGATGAGAGAGAGGGAGACGCACACAAACTCGAAATATACAGCAGCGGGCGTCAGGGTCAGGATCGAACCCACGACCTCCTGCATACCAGGCGAGGGAGACAAACAAAAGCTGCCGGGTGTGGAGCCAGTCAAGCCGCCTCTCGTAGGTGCCGGCCGTAATAGGCGCTCGCTAACGGCACTTGCCCCAACGGTCTGTTGAGTCTACACGGGGGATATTTTCCGCTCTTTGTTTTTGTTGCAGGGAGCGGTGGCGTGGCAGTTAGCGCACCGTGCTACGAACCCCGGCTGACCCGAGTTCGACCCGCTCTCGCGGCCACCGTTGGTTAGGAAAATCTGAACCGGTCCTCGGTCTCCCCTAGGTCGACTCGGCCTCAAACGAGTACCCGGTGCCGTGTGTAAAACACGAGCGCACAGGGAGACAGGTGGCCGGGCCTCCTGGTGGCCAGCTATCCCTCCAATAGATGAGCCGTTCCGGCCTTAATAGGTGCTCGCTGACAGCGTTTTCCCCAACAGTCTGTTGAGCCTTACGCGGTGGCGGTGTTGGGGATCTTTGTCTTTGGCAGTCGTGACGCCCAATGGCCACGTGGATTCCAAGTGCAGCCTGGGCCCGCCGATAATCACCCACACGGCCGCCACCCCGATGCCGACGCCCAAGGGCTCGCCGCACGCCGACGGCCCGGTGTCGCGGCACGGCAGCGCGGCCTCCATCGGGCCGCCCGTCCACAGCGCCAACCCCGACCAGAAGTCTCTGGTAAGGCCGCGTGACCACCCGCCGCCACCCACCCCTCCCTACAGCGCCGCCACCGCCAGGTGCCGTTCTCCCTGGCCATGTGGCTCCACCTGGCCGCGTGGCGAGACGTCAGATCCCCTCCACTCCCCTCTTCTGACAGTAGCCACGCCCCTCTTCTGACAGTAGCCACACCCCTCTTCTGAAAGTAGCCACACCCCTCTTCTGACAGTAGCCACACCCCTCTTCTGACAGTAGCCACACCAACTCAACTGACAGATCCCCGCGCTACTCCGGTAGCTCTGCTCACTACTCGGGTAGCTCCGCCCACTACTCTACTCGGGAAGCTCTGCCTGCTGCCCAGGTAGCTCCGCCCACTGCTCGGATAGCTCCGCCCTCTGATCAGGCAACTCCACCCACTGCCCAGGTAGCTCCGCCCAGGTAGCACCGCCCACTGCCCGGGTAGCTCCGTCCACTGCCCAGGTACCTCCGCCCTCTGTCCAAGTAGCTCCGTCCACCGCCCAGGTAGCTCCGCCGACTGCCCAAGTAGCTCTGCCCACTACTTGGTTTTGTCGGCAAACATTTTGTGAAACTTCATGCCACTGGAACCGACTTGTCCTGCCCGTGTCTCATTCCCTCATCTCCCACCCCCCACCGTCTCCCCCCGGCAGGTCGGCAGCTTTAGCGCCGGCAGCTGGAGCAGTCGCCGCTCGAGCTGGAACAGCCTGGGCCGCGCATCGAGCCTCATCCGGCGCGGCGGCGACGACGCCAACGGCGGCGAGCGCGAGTCTCTGCTCTCCTCGTCGCGCTGTGGAGCGGGGGGAGGTGGCGGGGGGGGGGCAGCGGCGGCCGCCGTCACCGGACACAACTCGGCCGCCGGTAGCGGTTGGGGTTCGGGCTCCGACGAGGATGACGCCGGCGGGGAAGAGAGGGGGGGTGGTGGCGGCTCGACGGCGATGATGATGGGGGACGCCGAGAAGCTGCAGAATCATCATCGCCACCACCACCACCACGGTCATCAGCGCCACCAGCAGCAGCAGCAACGTCATCACCACCAGCAACAGCAGCAGCAGCAGCAGCTTCACCACCACCAGCGGAGCGCGAGCGTCTGCAAGGAGGCGCCGCGCAGCCGTCGAAGCGCGTCGCTCTGCACGTCGCCCGACGCGCCCTTTGACCCCGAGCCCATGGTGCTGGTGGTGCCCTCGCTTAGCCTGCCGGCGGGGGATGGACCGGCGGGGGCAGCGGTGGGGCGCCGCGCTCGCAGGGACAGCGCGTGCAACGGGAGGACGGCGAGGGACGTGGACGGGAAAAGGGCCGAAGAGGAGGAGGAGGAGGACGAGGAGTACTCGGATGAAGTAAGATCCGGCTGTACGCGCAGGCTGCCATGACGGGGATGGCGATGATGAGGGCAAAGATGACGATGACGGTGATGAGAACGATGATGACGGTGTTGGTGGTGGTGGTAGTGGTGACGACGATGGCAATGGTGGTGATGACGATAACGTTTGTGGTGATGTTGATGATGACGGCGATGATGATGATGAGGACAGTGATGGTGATGGTGGCAATGATGATAATAACAGTGGTGATGATGATGATAATGACGGTGGTGATGATGACGATGATGATGACGATGGCGAGGACGACTGTGGTGGTGAAGATGACGGAGGCGGTGATGGTGGCGTTGGCGGCGGCAATGAGCGCCCGAACACGTCACCGTCACGCACGTGTACAATAAGCTAATAATAATGACTATCTTCTTTGGATCTTTCGGTAAAGTCACGTAGAATGAGAATAAAACAATAAAATAACACAATAAAATTCTCACGACGTTTCGGCCACAATGCAAGCGGCCGTCTTGAGGTGAAAGGAACAGACCTGTCGGGACGACAGAGCTTCAATGAACGATGTTAAGATTCGTAGCGACTTTTAAGCTGGTTGGGAGAAGTGAGGCACCTTGACAAAGGTGTTTACATATCAAATAGCTGAGGGATTAGCTTGTGACTGGTCACAGAAATGGCTATGTTAAAGTCAAAACCTACACATCCACAGAGGCAACTAGTAATTTAGCATTGAAATAGCTAAGGGATTAGCTTGTGCAAATATCTGAGGGATTATCTTGTGACTGGTCACAGAAAGAACCAAAGAAGATTAATCCTTGCAGTCACGAAAGCTTTAAATCTAAATAATGACTATAATCGATATTTATGAGGAGTAACGATTGTTGCTGTGATTGTGGCTTGGCAGAGCTGTCTGAGTCGGATGAGGAAACGCCTGCAGCCTCTGAAGCCGAGGTTCTGTGCGGAGCGCGAGGACTGGTCGCTCTACCTGTTCGCTCCACGCAACAGGTAGAGGGCGCTTCGACGACGACGACGACGACGACGGCAAACGAAAAACGTCGACAAAGGCGGCAAAAACACGATGACAAACAAACAAGAAACGACGTTGGCAAATAACAAACACGACAAACAACAACAAAAACACGACACCAAACGAACGACAACACGCGACAAAACAACAACTCACGAATTAACGACAAAAACACGAACAAGCAAACGACGAAGCGCTGCGACGAAAACGGACCGAGCACCTCCCCAGAGGAGGCTGACGTGGCGGCGGTGTCGTCGGCATCCTCGCCGCCGTCGTCGTCGTTGTCCGTCGTCGTGTGACCTCTCGCGTCCATCCGCAGGTTCCGAATGCTCTGCCAGAAGATCATCTCCCACAAGCTGTTCGACCACAGCATCCTCGCCATCATCTTCCTCAACTGCATCACCATCGCGCTGGAGAGGCCAGACATCCAGGATCGTAGCATGGTAATGGCACGCCCCCCGCCATGCACGACGGCACCTGCAGACCGGGTCTCAGGGTCTTGAGACTCGGCTCCAGGAGACCGGGTCTCAGGGTCTTGAGACTCTGCTCCAGGAGACCGGGTCTCAGGGTCTTGAGACTCGGCTCCAGGAGACCGGGTCTCAGGGTCTTGAGACTTTGCTCCAGGAGACCGGATCTCAGGGTCTTGAGACTCTGCTCCAGGAGACCGGGTCTCAGGGTCTTGAGACTCTGCTCCAGGAGACCGGGTCTCAAGGTCTTGAGACACGGCTCCAGGAGACCGGATCTCAGGGTCTTGAGATTCTGCTCCAGGAGACCGGGTCTCAGGGTCTTGAGACTCTGCTCCAGGAGACCGGGTCTCAGGGTCTTGAGACTTTGCTCCAGGAGACCGGGTCTCAAGGTCTTGAGACACGGCTCCAGGAGACCGGGTCTCAGGGTCTTGAGACTCTGCTCCAGGAGACCGGTTCTCAGGGTCTTGTGACTCTGCTCCAGGAGACCGGGTCTCAGGGTCTTGAGACTCTGCTCCAGGAGACCGGTTCTCAGGGTCTTGTGACTCTGCTCCAGGAGACCGGGCCTCAGGGTCTTGAGACTCTGCTCCAGGAGACCGGGTCTCAGGGTCTTGAGACTCTGCTCCAGGAGACCGGGTCTCAGGGTCTTGAGACACAGCTCCAGGAGACCGGGTCTCGGGGTTCTGAACGTTCCCGCTCTCACTCTCTCCGTGTGTTTGCAGGAGAGGCTACTGCTCTCCATCGCTAACAACGTCTTCACCGTCATCTTCACGCTGGAGATGACCGTCAAGGTTCGCAGGCCGCACGTCTCACTGCATCGCCATGCATCTCACGGCATCGCCACACGTCTCACGGCATCGCCGCACCAACACACAGCCAGCAGGCTTCATCATGGCCTGGTCAGAGTCACCTGAACTGACACTGCCAGCAGGCTTCATCATGGCCTGGTCAGAGGCACCTGAACTCACACAGCCAGCAGGCTTCATCATGGCCTGGTCAGAGGCACCTGAGCTGACACAGGCAGCAGGCTTCATCATGGCCTGGCCAGAGTCACCTGAGCTGACACTGCCAGCAGGCTTCATCATGGCCTGGTCAGAGGCACCTGAGCTGACACAGCCAGCAGGCTTCATCATGACCTGGCCAGATTCACCTGAGCTGACACAGCCAGCAGGCTTTATCATGACCTGGCCAGAGTCACCTGAGCTGACACAGCCAGCAGGCTTCATCATGGCCTGGCCAGAGTCACCTGAGCTGACACAGCCAGCAGGCTTCATCATGGCCTGGCCAGAGTCACCTGAGCTGACACAGCCAGCAGGCTTCATCATGGCCTGGTCAGAGGCACTTGAGCTGACACAGCCAGCAGGCTTCATCATGGCCTGGTCAGAGTCAACTGAGCTGACACAGCCAGCAGGCTTCATCATGGCCTGGTCAGAGGCTCCTGAGCTGACACAGCCAGCAGGCTTCATCATGGCCTGGTCAGAGGCTCCTGAGCTGACACTGCCAAGGCCTCCTATGTTCAACGGGTCCATAATGGCCACGTGAAACACTCCTAGCCCACACCATGAAATAATGGATTCATGCCCTGGTCTTGATCTCTCTCTCTCTCCCTCTCAGGAGAGTCATAATGGCCATGCTGCTGCTGTCGCTGTCGCTGCTGCTGATGATGATGGTGTTTGTGTTCACCTTTGGCCACAGGTGGTGGCCCTGGGCCTGTTCCAGGGCGAGAGAGCCTACCTGCAGACCAGCTGGAACATCCTGGACGGCGTGCTGGTCCTAGTCTCCATCGTGGACCTCCTGGTGGCCCACGTGGGAGGCCCCAAGATCTTGGGCATCCTCCGGGTTCTGCGCCTCCTCCGGACGCTCCGCCCGCTCAGGTGGGCGGAGCGTTTCATGCCGAGCGGACCTAGTGGTGGGACGGTCCTATTGCCAACAACGGTGGTGGTGGTACTGATGATGATAATGATTAGAATAATAATTGCGTACATTGGGTAGAGGTGCCTATTGGGAATCAGGATGTTTATTTATCACTGGAGGAGGAATCTGATGAGCTATGAAGCTCTTTACTCGCAGATGTCGAGTCGGTTCTGACGGTATCAGCCCACTTACTCATGGCTTGCACAGAGATGCAGTGCGGTGACAGGGTGAGTGAGCGGGTGAGTGAGTTGTGACCTGCAGTGTGGTGAGCGGATGAATGGACGGGCGAGCGAGCGTGCGGGTGAGTGAGTGGGTGAATGTGCGGGTGATTGAGTGAGTGGTGAGCTGTGGTGTGGTGAGTGAGTGGGTAAATGAACAGGTTAGTGGGTGAGTGGGTGAGTGAGTGAGTTAGTTGGGATTAGACCTGCAGTGTGGTGAGTGAGTGGGTGAGTGAGTGAGTGAATGTGTTGGTGATTGAGTGGGTGAATGAACGGGTTAGTGGGTGAATGGGTGAGTGAGTTGAGTTTAGACCTGCAGTGTGGTGAGTGAGTGGGTGAGTGAGTGAGTTAGTCAAGACCTGCGGTGTGGTGAATAGGTGAGTGAATGGGTGATTGAACAGGTGAGTGAGTGCGTAAGTGGGTGAGTGAGTGGGTGAGTGAGAGGGTGAGTAAACGGGTGAGTGAGTGGGTGAATGTGCGGGTGATTGAGTGAGTGGTGAGCTGTGGTGTGGTGAGTGAGTGGTAGAATGAACAGGTTAGTGGGTGAGTGGGTGAGTGAGTTAGTTGAGTTTAGATCTGCAGTGTGGTGAGTGAGTGGGTGAGTGAGTGAGTTAGTTGAGACCTGCGGTGTGGTGAATAAGTGAGTGAATGGGTGAATAAACGGGTGAGTGAGTGGGTTAGTGCGTAAGTGGGTGAGTGAGTGGGTGAGTGAGAGGGTGAGTAAACGGGTGAGTGAGTGGGTAGTGAGTGAATAGGTGAGTGAGTGAGTGGGTGAATGAATGGGTGAGTGGGCCAGTGAACGGGCGAGCGAGTAAGTTGTAACCTGTGGTGTTACGTGGTGGTGGTGGTGGTTGAGGAGTAGACAACACAGTCCATGTCAGCCACAAACTTACGCCTCAACACATGGGCCGGAGGAATCAATGAAGGGGGGGGTGGGCGGGCGGAGACGTTCATGGCAGGAGTGGCAACATCCACATCGACCCGCATGCAGTCAACGCGCGGGTAGAGTCAGTCGGAGGACGCCGCGTTCCCACTTTGCCGCATTCAATAAATCATCGTTTGAATCCGTGCGGAGAGAAACGTTGGCCTCATTTCCCAGCCCTCCCGGGCCTCGTTAAACAAACGAGTTCGCGACGCAAACTCTCTCTCTCTCTCTCTCCGTCGTCTTCTCTCCCTTTTGTGTTCAAAGCGCCGTCTGTCTCTCTCTCTCTCTCGTGTCCTGAACAAAAACGAAGTGATTTGATGAGACGCAGAATATGTATCCATGCTGGAGGAAGCTGATGAGCTGCAAAGCTCTTTCGTCACAGGTGTGTCACAGGTGTGGCACAGGTGTGTCACAGGTGTGGCACAGGTGTGGTACAGGTGTGGTACAGGTGTGTCAGGGGTGTGTCAAAGGTGTGTCACAGGTGTGGTACAGGTGTGTCACAGGTGTGTCAGGGGTGTGTCACAGGTGTGTCGCAGGTGTGTCACAGGTGTGGCACAGGTGTGTCACAGGTGTGGCACAGGTGTCTCACTCTCTATCTCACTCTCTGTGTCTCTCTATCTCTCTCTGTCTCACTCTGTCTCTCTCTGTGTCTCCCTCTGTGTCTCTCTGTCTCACTCTCTATCTCTGTCTCTCTCTGTCTCACTCTCTATCTCTCTCTGTCTCTCTCTGTCTCACTCTCTGTCTCTGTCTCTCTCTGTCTCACTCTCTATCTCTGTCTCTCTCTGTCTCACTCTCTATCTCTCTCTGTCTCTCTCTGTCTCACTCTCTGTCTCACTCTCTGTCTCTTTCTGTCTCACTCTCTGTCTCACTCTCTGTCTCACTCTCTGTCTCACTCTGTCTCACTCTCTATCTCTCTCTCAGTCTCTCCCTCTGTGTCTCTCTGTCTCACTCTCTGTCTCACTCTTTATCTCTCTCTGTCTCTCTCTGTCTTACTCTCTGTCTCTCTCTGTCTCACTCTGTCTCACTCTCTATCTCTGTCTCTCTCTGTCTCACTCTGTCTCACTATCTCACTCTGTCTCACTCTGTCTCACTATCTGTCTCTGTCTCTCTCTCTGTCTCACTCTCTGTCTCAATCTCTGTCTCACACTCTATCTCACTCTGTCTCACTCTCTATCTCACTCTGTCTTACTCTGTCTCACTCTCTATCTCACTCTGTCTCACTCTGTCTCACTCTCTATCTCACTCTGTCTCACTCTCTATCTCACTCTGTCTCACTCTCTATCTCACTCTCTGTCTCACTCTGTCTTTCTCTCTCTCTGTCTCTCCCTCTGTGTCTCTCTGTCTCACTCTCTATCTCACTCTCTGTCTCTCTCTCTGTCTCTCACTGTCTCACTCTCTATCTCTCTCTGTTTCTCTCTGTCTCACTCTGTCTCACTCTCTATCTCACTCTCTGTCTCTCTCTGTCTCACTCTGTCTCACTCTCTATCTCACTCAGTCTCACTCTCTATCTCACTCTCTGTCTCACTCTGTCTCACTCTCTGTCTCACTCTCTATCTCACTCTCTGTCTCACTCTGTCTCTCTCTGTCTCTCCCTCGTGTGTCTCTCTGTCTCTCTCTCTGTCTCACTCTGTCTTACTCTCTGTCTCTCTCTGTCTCACTCTCTATCTCTCTCTGTCTCACTCTCTGTCTCTCTCTGTCTCTCTCTGTCTCACTCTCTGTGTCTCTCTATCTCTCTCTGTCTCACTCTCTATCTCTCTGTCTCTCTGTCTAACTCTCTATCTCTCTCTGTCTCTCTCTCTGTATCTCCCTCTGTCTCTCTGTCTCACTTTCTATCTCTCTCTGTCTCTCTCTGTCTCACTCTCTATCTCTGTCTCACTCTCTATCTCTCTCTGTCTCACTCTGTCTCTCTCTCTGTGTCTCTGTCTCTCTCTATCTCTCCCTCTGTGTCTCTCTGTCTCACTCTCTATCTCACTCTCTGTCTCACTCTCTATCTCTGTCTCACTCTCTATCTCTCTCTGTCTCTCTCTGTCTCACTCTGTCTCACTCTCTATCTCACTCTTTATCTCTCTCTGTCTCTCTCTCTGTCTAACTCTCTATCTCTCTCTGTCTCTCCCTCTGTGTCTCTGTCTCACTCTTTATCTCACTCTCTGTCTCTCTCTGTCTCACTCTGTCTCACTGTCTCACTCTTTCTCTCTCTCTCTGTCTCTCTTTGTGTGTCACTCTCTGCCTCTGTCTCTCTCAGGGTAATCAGCCGAGCCCCGGGTCTCAAGCTCGTCGTGGAGACGCTCATCTCCTCGCTCAAGCCCATCGGCAACATCGTCCTCATCTGCTGCGCCTTCTTCATCATCTTCGGCATCCTCGGCGTCCAGGTGACGGTCGGCGGCGGTGGTGGCGGCGGTGGCAGCGGTGGTGGCAGTGATGGAGCTCGTTGCCTCGCGGCAACAGAGAAGGAAGCCCGAGTTGAACTCCCCGCCTGGGTTCAAGTCCCGGCCTGAGTGCCTTGCTGTGTTGTGGAGTTTGTGTGTCCTACCCTCCCCCCACCTCTTCTGCAGAGTGTGAGAGTGTGTGTGAGTGTGTGCGTGTCAGAGTGCGTGTGTGCGCTGTGTGTGGTGTGTGGGGAGAGGCGGTGTAGTAGCGGTCAGCGCTACGCCGCGCTACAAACCTGGCGACCCGGGTTCGATTCCCGCTCACGGCCAACACCGGTGACGATTATCTGAACCGGTCCTGGGCCTCCCCTAGGTCGACTCAGCCTCAAATTAGTACCTGGTGCGGTGTCTAAACATCGTCCCTAGGGAGACAAATGTGGTCTGGCGTGGTGCTGGCCACCCACCCCCTCGTGTGCCGTGCCGGCCTTCATCGGTGCTACTCGCTAACAGCACTTTTGTATTTGTGTCGAACTTCTTTCGCACCGTATGTAGCCAACCGCGCTAATTGTACGTGCAGGGCGAACGAAAACAAACGAAACACAAAAAGCAGTTCTAAAGAAGTGAGTTTGTCAATCCACATGATGATTTACGAGTGCACAGCTCCAGTTGCTTCCGAATATGGGAAGGGAAGAGCGTTCCAGACGGCCGCAGAAGCGCGTCTGAGAGCGCCGCGCGACGCGGTGAGCTCCACCGTCTTTGTTCGACGGTTTCTGCGAGGGTGAGCGGAGCTCGCGTGATGATGGTTGATGTTCCTTGACGAGATCAGCGAGGCATCACGGTGGCTAGGAGATGTTCTTAGCTCTTTCGGTAAAGTCACGTTGAAGGGAAACAATGAAATGATAAAATATGTATAAAACAATAAAAATTCTCACGACCTTTCGACCATAACACAAACGGTCGTCATCAGGTGTGTCGGTTTGCATTAATTTATTTATATTTAAACGGTGTATTTATTTATTTATAAAAAACGTCAGCGCCACGCGCAGCGATTTGGCAGTTTATTTAGAAGGACAAGTCCATCTATGTTCTGAAAAGAGGAGGGGGGGAGACGAAAAATTAATGTATGCTGTCTGAAAGCCACTGTAAGCGTGAACAATCAATTAAGACCTGAAATGGTTAATCAAATCGTTCCAATGATTGCTAAGCCAGAATCCATCTTCTCGGTTGAAATTGTCTCTGTGCTTGTATATGTGGATAGCCTCATGAACGAATCTCTCATGGTAGCCAGATGGCTTACAAAGAACCTCTGTCTTGGAAAAGTCAATGTCATTTGAGCCTACTGAATTATAACAATGATCTGCCACGGCCGAGGTGTTGGTCCTACCGTGTTTAAGGTCTGCTTTGTGTTCACGAATGCGGTCCGAGACATGGCGTTTGGTTTCTCCAATGGAACTACTACCACAGAGGCAACTTAGTTTGTAGACACCAGGGTACTGTATGTCCGGAATCACATCTTTTACAGATGGAACCAGATCACGGATTTTATGTAATGGCTAGGAGATGTTAACTCCCTCGCCTGGTATACAGAAGGTCTGTGTCTCTCTGTCATCACTCATCATCACGGTGGCTAGGAGATGTTAACTACCTCGCCTGGTACACATGAGGTCTGTGTCTCTCTCTCATCATCATCATCACGGTGGCTAGGAGATGTTAACTACCTCGCCTGGTATACAGGAGGTCTGTGTCTCTCATCATCATCACGGTGGCTAGGAGATGTTAACTCCCTCGCCTGGTATACAGGAGGTGTGTGTCTCTCTCTCATCATCATCATCATCATCACGGTGGCTAGGAGATGTTAACTACCTCGCCTGGTATACAGGAGGTCTGTGTCTCTCTCTCATCATCATCACGGTGGCTATGAGATGTTAACTCCCTCGCCTGGTATACAGGAGGTGTGTGTCTCTCATCATCATCATCATCACGGTGCCTATGAGATGTTAACTACCTCGGCTGGTACACAGGAGGTCTGTGTGTCTCTCTCATCATCATCATCATCATCACGGTGGCTAGATGTTAACTACCTCGCCTGGTATACAAGAGGTCTGTGTCTCTCTCTCATCATCATCATCATCACGGTGGCTAGGAGATGTTAAATACCTCGCCTGGTATACAGGAGGTCTGTGTCTCTCTCTCATCATCATCATCATCATCACGGTGGCTAGGAGATGTTAACTACCTCGCCTGGTATCCAGGAGGTCTGTGTCTCTCTCATCATCATCATCACGGTGGCTAGGATATAATAACTACCTCGCCTGGTATTCAGGAGGTCTGTGTCTCTCATCATCATCATCACTGTGGCTAGGAGATGTTAACTACCTCGCCTGGTACACAGAAGGTCATAGGTTCAATCCCCGACCTTGACACCTGCTGTACATTTGGAGTTTGGGGTGTCTCTCTTACATCATCACGGTGGCTAGGAGATGTTAACTACCTTGCCTGATCTACAGGAGGTGTGTCTCTCTTTCTCTCATCATCATCACGGTGGCTATGAGATGTTAACTACCTCGCCTGATCTACAGAAGGTCGTGGGTTCAATCCCGACCCTAAAGCCTGCTGCTGTATATTTGGAGTTTACCGTGTCTCCCTCTCTCTCTCGTCATCATCATTACGGTGGCTAGGAGATATTAACTACGTCGCCTGGTATACAGAAGGTCGTGGGTTCAATCCCGACCCTAAAGCCTGCTGCTGTATATTTGGAGTTTACCGTGTCTCCCTCTCTCTCTCATCATCATCATTATCACGGTGGCTTGGAGATGTTAACTACCTCGCCTGGTCTACAGAAGGTCGTGGGTTCAATCTCGACCCTAAAGCCTGCAGCTGTATATTTGGAGCGTCTCCCTCTCTCTCTCGTCATCATCATCACGGTGGCTAGGAGATGTTAACTACATTATACACCACACTATACACTACACTATACACTACACTACTATACACTATAAACTACACTATACACCACTGTACACTACACTATACACTACACTATACACTACACTATACACTACACTGTACACTACACTATACACTACACTATACACTACACTATACACTAATATACACTACACTATACACTAATATACACTACAGTATACACTACACTATGCACTACACTATATACTATACACTACACTATACACTACATTATACACCACTATACACTACACTATACACTACATTATATACCACACTATACACTACACTGTACACTACACTATACACTACACTACACACTACACTACACACTACACTATACACTACACTATACACTACACTATACACTTCACTATACACTACACTATACACTACACTATACACCACTATACACTACACTATACACTACACTATACACTATACACTACACTACTATACACTACACTATACACTACACTATACACTACACTATACACTACACTATACACTACACTATACACTACACTCTACACCACTATACACTACACTATACACTACACTATACACTATACAATACACTATACACCACTATACACTACACTATACACTACACTATACACTACACTATACACTACACTATACACTACACTATACACCACTATACACTACACTATACACTACACTATACACTACACTATACACTACACACTACACTATACACTACACTATACACTACACTATACACTACACTATACACTACACTATACACTACACTATACACTACACTATACAATACACTATACACTACACTATACACCACTATACACTACACTATACACCAATATACACTACACTACACACTACACTATACACTACACTATACACCACTATACACTCACTATACACTACACTATACACTACACCATACACTACTATACACTACACTTTACACTATACTCTACACTACACACTACACTATACACTACACTATACACTACACTATACACTACACTATACACCACTATACACCACTACACACTACACTATACACTACACTATACACTACACTATACCCTACACTATATACTACACTATACACTACACTATACACTGCACTATACACTACACTATACACTACACTATACACTACACTATACACAACACTATACACTACACTATACACTACACTACACACTACACTACACACTACACTATACACTACACTACACACTACACTATACACTACACTATACCCCACTATACAGCCGAGTGACACCGTCCCCCCCGTCACCAGCAGCGTGTCCCTGGGGCTGTCCCCCGGGAGTCTTCGACTCACCTGGTGTAACAAAACAAAAACAAACGTACATCACAAAAACATCATCATCCGCTCGCGTTCGTTTTTTAAGTATCCGCTCGCCGTTTCTATTCTGCGTGCGCCCTCAGCTCTTCAAGGGGAAGTTCTACTACTGCGAGGCGCCCGAGGCCCTGCGCGTGGCAAACCGCTCCGACTGCGAGGCGCACCAGCTCAAGTGGATGCGATACAAATACAACTTCGACAACCTGGGCCAGGTGAGGGCAGCGTACGGCCGCGGTGACGGCGGCGGTGACGGCGGTGACGGCGGTGATGGCGGCGTGCCAAGCGTTGATGGGGGGGGGGGGGGAGGTCTCACCGATCCTCACCGTGAGTCTCTTTTACAAAGCAGTGAGTCACCTGGCTCACGCAAAATGGCAAAAGCAGCGAATGTAGAAGCAAAAGTGCAGCACTGAAGCGCATAGAGATCAGAGACAGCCAGATAGAGATCAGAGACAGCCAGATAGAGATCACAGACAGCTAGATAGAGATCAGAGACAGTCAGGTAGAGATCAGAGACAGCCAGATAGAGATCACAGACAGACAGATAGAGATCACAGACAGCTAGATAGAGATCAGAGACAGTCAGGTAGAGATCAGAGACAGCCAGATAGAGATCACAGACAGACAGATAGAGATCAGAGACAGCCAGATAGAGATCAGAGACAGCCAGATAGAGATCACAGACAGCTAGATAGAGATCAGAGACAGTCAGGTAGAGATCAGAGACAGCCAGATAGAGATCACAGACAGACAGATAGAGATCACAGACAGCTAGATAGAGATCAGAGACAGTCAGGTAGAGATCAGAGACAGCCAGATAGAGATCACAGACAGACAGATAGAGATCACAGACAGACAGATAGAGATCACAGACAGACAGATAGAGACAGAGACAGTCAGGTAGAGATCAGAGACAGACAGAGACAGCCAGATAGAGATCAGAGACAGTCAGGTAGAGATCAGAGACAGCCAGATAGAGATCACAGACAGACAGATAGGGATCAGAGACAGCCAGATAGAGATCAGAGACAGACAGATAGAGACAGAGACAGACAGATAGAGACAGAGACAGACAGAGACAGCCAGATAGAGACAGAGACAGCCAGATAGAGAACAGAGACAGCCAGATAGAGATCATAGACAGCCAGATAGAGACAGAGACAGCCAGATAGAGATCAGAGACAGACAGATAGAGACAGAGACAGTCAGGTAGAGATCAGAGACAGACAGAGACAGAGACAGCCAGATAGAGATCAGAGACAGCCAGATAGAGATCACAGACAGACAGATAGAGATCAGAGACAGACAGATAGAGATCACAGACAGACAGATAGAGATCAGAGACAGACAGATAGAGACAGAGACAGTCAGGTAGAGATCAGAGACAGACAGAGACAGAGACAGCCAGATAGAGATCAGAGACAGCCAGATAGAGATCACAGACAGACAGATAGAGATCAGAGACAGACAGATAGAGACAGTCAGGTAGAGATCAGAGACAGACAGATAGAGATCACAGACAGACAGATAGAGATCAGAGACAGCAGGTAGAGATCACAGACAGACAGATAGAGATCAGAGACAGCCAGATAGAGATCACAGACAGACAGATAGAGATCAGAGACAGACAGATAGAGACAGAGACAGACAGGTAGAGATCAGAGACAGACAGGTAGAGATCAGAGACAGCCAGATAGAGATCACAGACAGACAGATAGAGACAGAGACAGCCAGATAGAGATCAGAGACAGCAGGTAGAGATCACAGACAGACAGATAGAGATCAGAGACAGACAGATAGAGACAGAGACAGTCAGGTAGAGATCAGAGACAGACAGATAGAGACAGAGACAGACAGGTAGAGATCAGAGACAGACAGGTAGAGATCAGAGACAGTCAGGTAGAGATCAGAGACAGACAGATAGAGACAGAGACAGCCAGATAGAGATCAGAGACAGCAGGTAGAGATCACAGACAGACAGATAGAGATCAGAGACAGACAGATAGAGACAGAGACAGTCAGGTAGAGATCAGAGACAGACAGATAGAGACAGAGACAGCCAGATAGAGATCAGAGACTGCAGGTAGAGATCCATAACAGAGTTTTATTGGGTGAGATCGCATAAATATATAAATGTGTCGTTACAACCCGCCACCACCCAACACAGCCTTCTAGTAAGGTCTGTCACGTAAACAGAAAGTGCCAATCTTGATTTGAAGCTGTCGTGACTGCAGGAAGCCATACTCGTTGGTTCTTTGGGTAAAGTCACGTGGGCATAAACATAAAACAGAACGTGCCAATTCGTCACTAGTACAGCACACCGGCGTGTTGGAGAGCCAAGCCACAACATTTACAATCTGAGTACGACGTTTCACCAGTAATTACAACCAGCTTCATCAGGCGACAGCCAGATTTGTGGAGAAGTCGAACTGTTTCGTTCCTTATGTAGAGGCGTAGATGTGGTGACCACGCTTCTGCACTCTTGCACAAAGTGGGGAGGGGATTACTGAGTCAATGTACGTGATGCATGTGCAGTATGATCTTGTCCTTCCTGTCTATTGCGTGTATTAAAATAGCCGTGCCAACGGTAATTCATATTGAAGTATACTGCCCTTTGTAGGCATGCATTTAAATAATGTATTGTTTGATGATTCACTTCCACGCAGGTAATCGTGTACACACCTTCTGCACGTGTGGTAAATGTTACGTTGGGCAAACAGGACGAATGATCAGCACGAGACTAAAAGAACATCAGAGAAATATTAAATTCTCCCAAATACAACTGTCAGCAGTAGCACAACACGCGTGCCAACAAGGACACTCAATTGATTTTGATAATGTTGAAGCTCTGTGCAAAACTAGCTACTACTGGCCAAGACTAATTAGAGAATCTTTCGAAATTGAAAGAAATAAAAATATTTTTTACCGTTCAGATAGCTACTGCCTCTGCTGCGTGGAAGCGAATCATCAAATGATACATTGTTTAAATGCATGTCTACAAAGGGCAGTGTACTTTAATAAGCATTACGGTTGGTACAGCTATTATAATAAACAAAATAGACAGGAAGGACAAGTTCAAAGGGCTCGGCTTAATGCACATGCATCATGTACGTTGACTCAGTAATCACATCTACGCCTCTATGTAAGGAACGAAACAGGTGGACATCTCCACAAATCTGGCTGTGGCCTGATGAAGCTAGTTGTGATTACTGGTGAAACGTCGCACTCAGATTGTAAATGTTGTGGCTTGGCTCTCCAACACACCGGTGTGCTGTACTAGTATACTACACTATACACTACACTACTATACACTACACTACTATACACTACACTACTATACACTACACTATACACTAGTGCTGTACTAGTATACTACACTGTACACTACACTACTATACACTACACTACTATACACTACACTATACACTAGTGCTGTACTAGTATACTACACTATACACTACACTACTATACACTACACTACTATACACTACACTACTATACACTACACTATACACTAGTGCTGTACTAGTATACTACACTGTACACTACACTACTATACACTACACTACTATACACTACACTATACACTAGTGCTGTACTAGTATACTACACTATACACTACACTACTATACACTACACTATACACTACACTATACACTAGTGCTGTATTAGTATACTACACTATACACTACACTATACACTACACTATACACTACACTATACACTAGTGCTGTACTAGTACACTAAACTATACACTACAAAATACACGAGTGCTGTACTAGTATACTACACTATACACTACACTATACACTAGTGCTGTACTATTATGCTACACTATACACTACACTACTATACACTACACTATACACTACACTATACACTACACTATACACTACACTATACACCACTATACACTACACTATACACTAGTGCTGTACTAGATATGAATTGGCCACGTTCTGTTTACGTGACAACCCTTACTAGTTGGCTGTGTCGGGTGGTGGCGGGTTTGAACGACACAACATTTATATATTTACGCAATCTAAGCCAAAAAACCTCTATGATGGATGGTATTGGTCGCGAAAGCCTCCTACGTGTTAAACCAGGTAGAGATCAGTGCAGGAACAACTACATTACAAGTAACTCAGACAAGTGACTCAGACAAGTAACTCAGACAAGTAACACAGACAAGTAACTCAGACAAGTAACACAGACAAGTAACACAGACAAGTGACACAGACAAGTAACACAGACAAGTAACACAGACAAGTGACACAGACAAGTAACTCAGACAAGTAACACAGACAAGTAACTCAGACAAGTAACTCAGACAAGTAACTCAGACAAGTAACTCAGACAAGTAACACAGACAAGTGACACAGACAAGTAACTCAGACAAGTAACTCAGACAAGTAACACAGACAAGTGACACAGACAAGTAACTCAGACAAGTAACTCAGACAAGTAACACAGACAAGTGACTCAGACAAGTAACTCAGACAAATAACTCAGACAAGTAACTCAGACAAGTAACACAGACAAGTAACTCAGACAAGTAACTCAGACAAGTGAGACAGACAAGTGACACAGACAAGTAACTCAGACAAGTAACTCAGACAAGTAACTCAGACAAGTAACTCAGACAAGTAACTCAGACAAGTAACACAGACAAGTAACTCAGACAAGTAACTCAGACAAGTAACTCAGACAAGTGAGACAGACAAGTAACTCAGACAAGTAACTCAGACAAGTAACACAGACAAGTGACTCAGACAAGTAACTCAGACAAGTAACTCAGACAAGTGACTCAGACAAGTAACTCAGACAAGTGACTCAGACAAGTGACTCAAACAAGTAACTCAGACAAGTAACACAGACAAGTAACTCAGACAAGTAACTCAGACAAGTGACTCAGACAAGTAACACAGACAAGTGACTCAGACAAGTAACTCAGACAAGTAACTCAGACAAGTAACACAGACAAGTAACTCAGACAAGTAACTCAGACAAGTAACTCAGACAAGTAACTCAGACAAGTGAGACAGACAAGTAACTCAGACAAGTAACTCAGACAAGTAACACAGACAAGTGACTCAGACAAGTAACTCAGACAAGTAACTCAGACAAGTGACTCAGACAAGTAACTCAGACAAGTGACTCAGACAAGTGACTCAAACAAGTAACTCAGACAAGTAACACAGACAAGTAACTCAGA